AATGCCTTTGCACAATTATGCAATTGATATGCGACAGTTATGCGACAGTTTTTCGCATATCCTTCGTATATGGACAGTTATGCGATGAATATGCGACAGTTTTCGCATAACCTTCGCACTTTCTGGGATAAAAAATGTAGCTTTTTATTGGACGGTGTGAAAAACTTATCAAGACTTCGGGTGAAAATAGATATTTTCACATTTATAAACTTATTATTGACTAAATATATTACCATGGGATTTGCTGAAATTTTACGCCGACTTCCAATTTCTTACCTTTCTTCACACGGTAAAAATATATAAATATAAATATATATGTATAAAGATCGAAGGGATCCTACAGAGAACTCAATCATCACCACGTCTAGCAGCTTTTCCATGGCCGACCGCGACTCCACAGTCCCCTCCACCATCGCCGCCGACACCGCCACAGCCTCTCCGGAGGCGTCGAAGCAGCCGGAGACGAAGAAATGGGCAGACGTCGCTGAAGAGGCGGAACGAGAAGAAGCTGAATCTTCGTTGGCCGAGGCTCTGTCGGATTCCTTAGCCATGGACGAGTCGAGTACAGGACAGAACACCCTCACCGATCCCGACGACTCAAGGATTCAAGCTGTAATCTTTGTTCTCTCCTTAATTACTGTATTCTGTGGTTACTCATATAAACGTTTTGGATCTGATTTTCCGTTCCTTGATTGGTTCTTAAATTTACGGAGGTACCTTTTTTATTCGGAGTAGACTTTGAACTTAGCGTGGATGAATTAGTTGTGTATACTTTGATGAGTTTAGTTCTTTCCAGGTTTTGATTGATTTTTTCATGAATTAGAGTTTATCGTGATCTAGGTTGTGTGCTGAAGAACCTGGTTATGTTTTTATTACCATTTTCTTCTATGTGACAATTGTTTTTGTGGAACTTCAGCTATATTTATTAGGAATTCAGTTAATTGATCTGGCAATGAGTCAACTTTGCTTCGTCGGTGTTTTTGCATCAAAATGAAGGTTACATCTGGGGATACTCCATATACATCAGCTAAGAGATTTGAGGACTTGGATTTATCACCTGAGCTGTTGAAGGGGCTGTATGTTGAGATGAAGTTTGAGAAACCTAGTAAAATACAGGCAATCAGCTTGCCGATGATTCTGACTCCTCCCCACAAGAATTTAATTGCTCAAGCTCACAATGGCTCTGGGAAGACAACATGTTTTGTGCTGGGTATGTTGAGCCGTGTCAATCCAAATATCAAGGCTCCCCAGGCTCTCTGCATCTGCCCTACTAGAGAGTTAGCCATTCAGGTTTGTTTAGTAAAATGCTTTAGTTATTTTTACAAAATCCGAGCAATTATTCTTGCAAACTTATTAGCATGCAAATAACATACTATTTGTGACTATATTTGTACTCATATGTATTTTTGTCCTATTTGATGCATGGAACGTGTGATGTGTCGGATGTCGGATTGATTGTTTATGGCTGCACCCTAGTACAATATCAACGCTAAGTTTCATGACCAACCAAATTCTAAATTTTTTTATTTTTTAGTGGTATTACGTTGATTGATGAGGTAAAGATCCAAGATTTTCAAGCTAACTGTATTTCTTTTAGACGTAAGAGACTAACTTCGGGTTTTTATTGTTAGTTTAAAAATTGACCCTGGATTAGGAATTCGAATTGCCGTGTTCTTTGAAATGGTGCCAAATTCTAAAATTTATTATTTCTTAGTGGTAGTTTGTTGATTGATGAGGTAAAGATCCAAGATTTTCGAGCTAACTGTATTTTATTAGACGTAAGAGACTAACTTCAGGTTTTTATTGTTTGTTTAAAGATTGACCCTGGATTAGGAATTTGAATTGTCGTGTTCTTTGAAATGTTGCCTTTCCGTGCGGAAGATATGCATCACGAATCTGCCACCTGCTTCTTATTTTATGATATGATCTGATTAGTTAATCGGAATAATGTTAACAGAATATGGAAGTGCTATTGAAGATGGGAAAGTTCACTGGGATAACCTCTGAATTAGCCATACCGGCCGACCCTTCAACCTACATTCCAATTCAAAAGCGGCCGCCTATTACAGCTCAAGTAATTATTGGCACACCTGGCACAATATGTAAATGGATGCAAGCAAGGAAACTCGGCATGAGCCAAATGAAGATTCTTGTATTTGATGAAGCAGACCACATGTTGGCGGAGGTAATTCCTGATTTGTAAATTATGGTAGAAATTCAAATAACCTGTGTGCCCTCCAATATCTTTTGTTGTTTAGTGATTTCAAAAGTAATATGTACGAAGCATCATAGCTATTTGCTTGGGGGACTTGGGTAAAACATTGAAGTGCCTCCATTTCCCTTCATACTGGTCCATTTTAGAAAGTGATTCTTTGTCAGAATTCCAGTGTTCAGCTTGCGTGGCTTATGCAACTTATTCATGTACTTGTTGGCATAACATTCAACTGGGAGGGTATTTAAGTGGAAATTCTATGTCTCAAAACTTTTGTTAGCGTGTGCGTCAAAGCTAAGTCCACCCTGGTTTTTGAATATTTTGTTTGTTCTTTAAATAAACAAAACTAGAGGCACATAAAAAGTATGATTTTCTGTTGTGTTTATCTGTAAATTCCACTCTTAATTGTAGAGTGGTTTTCGAGATGATTCAGTGAAGATAATGAAGACAATTGTAAAAGGCAATTCGAGTTGCCAGGTAAGTTAACTATCATTTATCTTTTCATAACTATGTTTGCCTTTTCTGATAATGTGCTTTATTTGTGAATAAAAGATAAAAGATGTCGAATTCTTTGATGTCAATATTATTAATGGCAGATGGCGGTAAATGGCGGCAGGAAAAAGTCCATCATAGCGCCTGCCATGGTGGCCGCCGTGGCAGCCTATGGCACTGCCATAACCACCATCTTTCACGAATTTTAGCATGGCAGTTTGTCACAATCATTGCTGACAAATTTACAAGGACTTGTTAATGGATAAAATGTTGGTATAAGGTTTTATTTTTCATGGCTGCATTCCAATCTATGTTCATATTATATGAGTTGTCTAGTTATGTTTTTCTAGTGAATTTTCATTTGCCCACCCTTGTATCTTTGTATACTATGTGTTTCTAAAACCAAAAGTGATCAGTGATTGGTTTGGAGGTCACAGTCCATTTAGATGAAGAAAAAAACAGTGGTGACATGACCTAACTCTTAGGGGGGAACTTGAGGAACTTTTTAACAAAAGCTATCTTTAACACGTGGGAAAAGAAAATTGCAAATTCTGTGGTATAAATTCGTTACACTGACAAGTTATATATTAAACCTTACTGTCTTTATTTTGTAAGGTAAATAACTAGAATAAATTAAAATCCTCAGGAAGTCATGCACTTTAAGCATATTTTACATGAAAGAAGATATATCGGACATCTTTGAATCTTGTTGGCAGCTTGATCCCTGTTTAAGGCTTGCATGGTTGACTCTTTGTTGTCAAAAATTGTGATCAGGTCCTTCTGTTCTCAGCTACCTTTGATGATGCTGTAAGAGCTTTTGTGTCTAAAATAGTCGAGGATATTTTTGTCCGAGACTATAACCAGATGTTTGTCAAAAAGGAAGAACTATCGTTGGAATCTGTTAAACAGTATAAGGTCAATGTTCCGGATGAGCTTTCCAAAATCATGGTGATCAAAGACCAGATACTCGAACTCGGAGAGAAGGTGGGGCAGACAATTGTATTTGTTCGGTCCAGGAACAATGCGGGAATGTTGCACAAATCTCTAGTCGAAATGGGTTATGAGGTCACCACAATCCAAGGTGCTTTGAAGCAAGAAGACAGGGATAGAATTATAAAAGAGTTCAGGGATGGGTTAACCCATGTTCTAATT